TTCATGGTCAAGGGACTCTTTCTTTAGTTTAGGCCATATCATGGCTTCCTTAAGTTGTACCGGCACATTAGCAGTTTCAGTTGACATGTTGATCATCTTAGTTAAAACAGGCAACAAAACGTCCGTGCAATCATTCATTATTGATGCTGGAAGAGGGTCTAAAATACAGGTCTTGAGGCGGCAGGAGTTGATTAAACTCTTCACCTGGTCTTCTGTTATGCGTTAGAACTCAGTAAGTTCAGCACTGCAGGCCTGAGCATCCACAAGAGAAATGGCGACCGGTGTATATCGAGCAAATAAGTCATTTCTTATAACTTCGATCTTTTGGCAAAAGAAATCAGCAAATCTGTTTGCTAGCACCTCAGAAGATGGAGCAGTTGGGTAGCACTTCTCAGTGTTACGGTGGAGGAGCCGGGTAACTGTGTTAAACAAGACCTTTTGATTGCCTTTATTTTCGTGTATGTTGGAGTAATAGTTTTCCTTTGCTTTCTTGATAAGAGAACTGACGACTTTACATTGTTCCTTGTATAATTTTCTGTCAATGACCATGCGGGATTTGCGCCAGCGCCTTTCTAATTTCCGTCTTTTTCTCCTTTCTCGGTCAATGTCACCATTATACCAGGCAGCAGCGGGTCTCACCGTGATCGTTCGTTTTTTCTCCGGAGAATGGATGTCAAGTACTCTTGTTAGTTCAGTTTCGTATTTGTCGACGAGCGTTGGTAGATCAGTGATGTTTTCTTGCAAGACAATGGAATCCCTCAAGTCCTTGCACAGAGCACTCATATCAACAGATCGCAGTTTACGGTATCTAATTTCATGCTGTTCAGCTGGAGGCTTGCTTAGTTTCAGTGTGCAGTGCACAGCAAAATGGTCCGACAAGGGAGGATCTCTGACCACGATACCATCCACTAGGTCATCTTCGGATCGAGTGATGATTAGATCTAGGGTGTGTCCTCTAAAGTGGGTGGGTGTGGCAACATGTTGCTTCAGATTAAAAGATTCTAGCAGGTTGTGAAGCTTGGTTGCATCGGTGTTATTACTGTCAAGTTTAAAATTAAAATCACCCACAAACAACAAGTTGCCTGAAATTGGAACAAGCTGCTCGAGGAGGCTCACGAAGTCTTGGAGAAACGCTTTGATGTGCGACGATGGAGGTCGGTAAATGACAACGAATCTTATGCTTCCGATGGGATATTCAGCAAGCGCAACCACATTCTCAAAAGAACTAAAATTCGCTGAACACAGCTTCTTAACTCGGAGTGATTTCTTAACTAGTATAACAACTCCACCGCCTCTTGAGTTCTCCCTGGGAGTATGATGAAAAATATATCCTTTCGGGCATAACTCGCCAACAAAAAAGCTATCACTCTCCCCTGAGTGAAGCCAAGTTTCCGTTAAGGCAAGGAAGACAAGATCATTCTCAAAGGTGTAGTCCTTGGGTGACAGTGCTTTGTTTTTAACAGATCGTACATTCCATAAACCGAAATTTAATGACTGCGACAGCGACGACGAGTTAGATCTTTTGGAATTAATTTTTATGCAGTTCGATTCATCACATGTGCGAGAGCAGCTGGTCGTCTTTTTTTTGCGGTCAGTACATCTGACAGGAATCTTACAAGTGCTTCTGCTAATCGGCCCTGGCAAAGGATGAACATCGCCACTTAGAGAGATCGTCAAAGCATTGACATTGAACGTTGATACTGAGTTTGGATAGTACGCAATGCGGGCCTTGAACCATCTCTTTGTTTTTGTTTCTGTCAAGTGGGAAAATTTAGCTGAATAGTTCAAACCAATATGAGTGCATTGTTGCATGGCAATTAACGCCCGACCCTGTTGCTTTCTTATTCCTTGGGGAATAATCCATCTTGTATGCTAATTTCAAGCACGTCATGGTTTGTTGAAGCTGACCAGCTCTGTGATACAGAATTTGTCAAAAATTGAAACAAATTACTGCACGAAGATGCAATCCAAGGACAGTGCTTTGTTCCTCTTATCGTTACAAATGCCCAGGATGAGTTGTCAATAGATTTCGACGCCAGTTGGAGCAAGAAAACCATCCAAAACGAGAGACCTAAAAACACGCGGCCGGCCGTCATAATGATATGCAATTATAGTGCAGAAATTATCCTTCTACTTTTTACTCCAAATTTAGTAAGAATACCTCAATAACAATGTAACAAACAAGTAAATGGCAAAAACATTTACCCTATTTACACGTACGAACCTTAAGAGTGCATTATTCATTCTCCGAAAACTATAAAACTTCAAACAAAAACCAGCACACAAGGATGCCATCTTGGATAACCGAGCTAGTCAGTTAGGCGCCTCCGTTGAGTCCTGTGCAAAGGTCCTAGGCGACTTCCTTTGGGACTCAGGTCCCATGAATGCGACAATAAGCGGACAAAAATTGATTTTGTTACTTGAATTTGCATGGAACACTTATCGCGAGTCAAAAAAATTGGTTGCATGATCAACAAATGACAATTTCGTGCTGCAAAACTAGCCAAAAGTGCAAATTATGCTAGCAGTGCTTTTTTCGAGAACTACATGAAAATAGACCTTTTTAGCTTGTATGTTCTGTTTTCCTACTTCAGACCAGGTGATGGTACCCCAGGGAACTGTTTCGTTCAAATGTCGTGTTATGCACGTGCGTGCAAGTGCATATGTATGCATAATTAATGACAAGACAAAGGGCAAATTCCCTGGAGAGCATCACGTGGTCTGAATTGGGAAAACAAAACATACAAGCTACAAAGGTCTATTATACTCGTAATGACGAATTATGCCAAACTTTATTCTAGCACAATCTATCAAAGCCTACTCGGGATGGCTCCGCCCAAAGGGTGTAACTTTTTAGGGCCTTAGGGATATGTAAGGGTAGGGATTTCACTAACTGCAGTATATGAGAGGGTAGAGAATTCTGTCATTTCGGTCTTGACTATGAGCTGAAAAAAAGCTACAGAAGGCAGCTTTTATGGCTGTGAAAAAGTCGGGAAAATTTCCTGGTTTTATATATACATATATATTTAACACAGTGCATTTACAGCAGTTAAAAGGGATGCAATATTCTGAACTCGGTATGTGAAAGGGGTACCATTTGTCCATGGAAGGTTTACGAAAGGGGGTACCTTTTCTGACAAAAATGGTATATAAAATGGGAAGGGAATTGATCTCGGGGCGGAGCCTCTCCGTGTAAAACCTTATTGAGTACCCCTCCTCTCCCGGGATTTTAGACTTCCACTTTAATAACCTCGCAATCACGAATCAAGCGCACCTGTGCACTACGCTCGCTTTCTTTGCGATTTCCTATAATTTATCGGCAACCTTTATTTAAGTAAACCATAACCCGTGGTAAATAACAGGCGCCCATTACAATTTCTTTAGATGGGAAAAAGGGAAAAGAGTAAAAACATAGGCTTAAATCGTCATTTGATTTCACAAAAAACGTAAAATTCAATCCCCCCCTAACATTTTATGCCAGACGGCAATTTACACATGTCCTCGATCAATAAAACGTTCGCGTTGATCGAACTTATCACTAGCTCTGTGACATCGTTTTCGTCATAAAGGGGTTTTTTAATGCCAAATTCATGCTGCAGGCTTCAAAATACATTTCGTTGTCATGCAATGCCATCCTGGTGTTGCCCCACTTATAAGACCTTTTCCCTAAATTTCACCTTATTTCTAAAAATACCCTAGAAAACAGAACAAGTAAACCGTGCACGACTTAATTAACTTAATTTAACAGTTCCGCGTTTTGTTAATCAAAAAATATTAATGTACGAAACAGAGGTACAAAGAATCATGCCGAGCTGATATCTCGAGATCAGTCATAACATTATTAAATCACACGACAATGTCATAAAGTATCTATCAAAAGCTTTGGTTGGCCTCGAAGGTTTCCCCTACAGTTGGCAACAGGAAAAAGTGATATTCATTTAGCCTTTAAATTTCATTGGGAGCTGCTTGGATGATAATAAACGCCAAATAGAAATACAAAAAAACGTGAGAGAAACATGTCCCACCTACAGTGTTGAAGACTGTTGGGAAGTTTAAAATCTGGAAACTCGATCTCCAAACAATCGCCAGTCATCCAGTCATCAACAAAACTCAAACACAAACTTCAAGTAAGTCTTTTTCTGTCAATTCCTTTGCGATACGTGTGAACCTTGTAAAGCCGCTGGGCACGTTCCATGTAGCATGGTGAGCATAATCACGGAGATTTATACATGTGGCCTTCCGCTTGCCTTTCCTTTATAGCTTGTCTGAAGCAGCAACGAAGTACTCCATTCACAGGTCTACCAAAAGCCCACGGGGATACCAAGCTGATTTCACTAATTTGCTCTGCTTGATTCTTTCACAACTTTTGAATTTTTACCTTTGGACATGACTCTTCAGAAGAGAAATTCAAGACCATTTAAGACAGGGGGATGATTGCCATAGAGAAAACATAGGAGAAACCAATCTTAAAAGGTAGAACTAACAACCTTGCGCGAAAAAAGCCTGATACGAAAAGCCATACTTTTAAGTTTAAACAGGAGTCATTCTGGATTAACTCGAATCTTTCGTCTGCTGTAAAGTATTTCGAGCGACAAAAAGATCTATAGTTATGAAAAAGAGAACTTACAAAATGTAGAAGGTAAAAAAGAAACAGAACTCAGTTCTGTTTTAATCTTTTCAGGTTGAAAAGGGTAAAATGGACATGCCACAGACCCGAAGATGTTGGCCTCTCATGTAGACATCGGTCGTACAATCAATATTTTATCAGTCATTGTTAGTAAAGATTTGGATTCTTTTTTTCAAACATGTCCTCATGACTTTCCCCCTTCTTTTAAATTTCTGTATTTTTTCCTTCACGCGTTTTGTAGATTGCGCTCTTGTTAATATATTGTAACAAATGACTACGTCAGTATAATGCGCAGCGGCCTGGCAACATTCACAACAGACGACAGATTCCCGTTGATCCGAACTTGAAAGTATGACATTTTGTATCACCAAAGCTAATGAAAAATCTGAATGCGCACCAGCATGGTATTATTTTTAACGTATTGCCCTTCGCGAATCTGCTCGATGGGAGCGAACTCTACGTAGCCGTACCCCTTATAGTTGCGCGGTGCTGTGGGCCTCTGGAATGCCAGTAAATTGGGTTTTGCTACCAGCGTTTCGCTGATATGGTGACGAAACTCCGACGCATCAGACTGATCCAAGATGGACAGCGCAATTCTTCCTGTAAAGGGCCACTCCAGGATCGTATCATAATCTCCCTGCATCATGTGAACGAACAAAGCCACGTGTTTTCCCACGCCACTGTCTACACCGTTTAAATTGATCCTCATGCATAATTTATAGCCATACAGGCTGGTATGGAAAGCAGGGCTGTGTATTGCAGTCATGACTCCATTGATGGCATCTTGCCGACACTGGCGATAGTTTTCGATTCTCCAGATATACGAACCGTTACAGACACGCCCTTCATACTCCAACAACTTGGCTTCATAGCGGTTAAATCTGAGAAATATCAAAGACCATTTCTAATGTCAAGGCCAAGATGGCACAAAATGATATCACCATCTATTAAGTGGCGCGGACTGAAAAAGAAGACTACAGCTCCTTGTTGTTAACTCCGTCAAACTGCATTTGTTTTCACTTTAAAATAAATTACCTAAAACAATAATCAAAGCTGAAATGATGTAGTTGTTTCACTGCAAATTTAGCTGTCAACCCAGTAATCCCAGAAGACCTACAGCGAGTGTGCTATAACAATCCTTTAGCCATTAAGAGAATTTCAAAGTGCCTTGTCACTGAAAGAAGGCCGCATCTCAGGGAATTTTCAGGTCTTCATTCAAGCTGTCGATGATGCCATAACCTAACCACAGCACTAACCAAACAACCCAACTTTGCCATCCATTCATCCCTGGGTTATCATTTCATGTTTGCCAGCAGTAAGTCACCCACAGCACAGGTTACTGAGATTTGTAAGGGGCACACAACGGCTATTTTCGATAAAAAAAAACTGTTCGTCTAAGCAAATATTGCCTACAATTTCCTAAAGCTTGAGGACGGCTTAAAATTTTTTGATGACCGTTCCATTCATGTACGATTTTCGAAGCTTATTTAATACATTCTACATGATTTTTACAAGGTGAATTTTTCACGTTTCACTGCCCAGGTTTAGTTATTTTTCGGATGAAAAGGAAACCAAAAATTTACCGATCCGGAAATGTGATGGAAAGAGGAGCCAGAAAAATTATTCCTTTCGTAAACCGTTAATGAATTGTATCTAAATTTTTCCGGAAAATAATACTTAAGCCTTTTTTAAATTCAAAAAGGCTCATGTTGGTTGCCCTAGGATGACAAAAAGATACAAATTTTATAGCACTGCTTTGAGAGAGTGAATTTCTAGACATGTAGAAGTACTCTGGATAGACTAAAAATCGTTTTCAGTGTATTTAGGAGGAAACCATTGTTGGGTGCACCTGATCTGTATGTATGTTTGTGACACTTACCGCATTGTGAGTTCTTGTATTGGTCTTTCCTGCCTCATACGAATTTCTTCCAGCCGACGCTCCAAATGATGTAAATTGTTGGCAGTATTGGTGATCCTATGTCTCAGTTCATCTATCTCACCTTGGTGACTGTGTGTCTGCGTTGACAATTCACTCAAATAGACTTCTTGGGCAGCCTGTTCTTGAGGGCGGGCTCCCACATCACCTCGAGTGCGTCTTGGAGCAGTTCGCTGAGTTTGTGGTTCTGTTTCACGGGACCTAGATAAAGCAGCAATTTGCTTTGACATATCGGTCAAGTGACCGGTCAGCTGCTCCATAATGTGTTTGTTGACATTGGCTCGCAAACCCTAACATAAGTAAGAAAAAAGAAGGTCTGGATTAAAATTCTCAACTCTGATACTTCAAAAGCTAAAGAGAAAAGTAACCTGGGGTCAATTTAATAAAACTTTTACACGTCTAATTTACAAGTGAAGCCATTGTTTTAGAGTCTGAGAACAACAGCTACACTTGTAAATTACACGTTTAAAAGTTTTATCAAATTGACCCCTGTTCACTGCGTGTGACGTAAATCTAATGAAACACTCCTAGTTTTCGTGCCACCTATTTCTACTGCAAAATCGTCTTATTTAAGGAATTGCATATAACCAAACAGTGTTTTCAGACAGCTCAATACTTAGGGTTGTGGAGAGTTGGCCGTTGTTGTTTAATAATAAAATAATAATAATAAATTATTATTATTAATTATAAGAGAAAAAACAGCGGGCTGTTGTAGCGGTGACCGAAAGTAGAAGTCAGTTGTGTTCGTTGTGTTTAATACATAAAGAAACACTGTGCTTCGTGTTTGATAAATTGTATTAGAAGATGATATTGGCGCTTCACCGGCAAATGAGCGTACATGCTGGCTGTACAAAAAAAGCAAACGTTGTCGCTGTTGGCTTACGACAGTGGTATAGGGCTCTCCGGTTACTCCGAGCAAGGAGACAAAAGGAAGGTAAATTCGGTCCCTACTATACTACTGTGATCAGAGTATGAGTGAAGTCGGTGCTTATAAGAGGTATATGCTAGTACTAATCAAGGACGTTCGAGTTTTATTAGCTTTACCGTCAAGAATTATTTCAAAATAGGGTAAAATACATGGAAATGTTTTTAATTCTTGCTAAGCTCTCCGTTTAGACTGCTTCATATTTTAAAATGTCTTTTTTATCTTTGAGAATGGTCGAAGGTATGAGGGATAGATCGTAGAAAGCTCTATTTTGTACAAAGATAAACAGCATATTCCCACACTACAAACGTCCAAAACCATGGAAAACCTCGAACTTAATCCTGGCTTCTTGCGTGACACAACTTGAAGTTTAGAACGCTCATAGCGACAGAAACACAAAGGTTTTGGCGAGATTACAGAGGTCAGTGAACCGGACTTCGCGTGAGGTACAAAATCTTTTACAACTGTGCGAACCGTTCATCTTCACTCAGTCCGTGTAGGTCGGTTCACCGCGTTTTAAACTCAAATTGCTTGGCGAGATCGTCTTATCAACAAAATTCTCCACAGATATATCAGACGTAAGATTGCACGGTTAAAGCAAAGTGAATCCCAGAATGTTTCTCGTGCAAGAAAGAAATAATACTGCCAATAAATAGACTCAAACGTACAGAAGGCAGACGGAAAGTATCCGGATGTTACCTGGTGGTTTTTTTTGTCTTTCTACAAAGTTTCAGCTCGATTTGACGGGTACAACATCGCCAGATACAGTAAGACCAAAAAAGGCCAGAATCGCCAGGTCAGCGATGAAATCTGCATCGAAAACAACTCCAACTTTCAAACTTTTTCAAGCTCAAATAACTCCCGTACTTTCGACATTTGTTGCATCATCTGGTTGACTTTGATCGAACACACATAACATAATACAAAATGGCGCCGAAAAAGCAGACGACACACGACTACCACGGGTTCCTAAGATTAGAAGTTGCGTTCTCTTGAAGTCGGCCGCAAAATCTGTTACCCAAAAGGGAGTAGTTAACGAATGATCCGGCTGTAGGGCATTGACTGGGAAAATGCTCGTGTTTTGGTGAAGTGGTCGCTTGCAGGAGGTGGTCGCAAATAAAGGTTATTGTCGTGGAATAGTGTGTTGAATTTGACTAGCTTCGGATTTGCGTCCCACTTCGCAGACGACTTAGTTTCCACCGACTATGTCGGCCACGTGTGCTTCCAATGCGATGAAATACGTTCAAGTTCGGCTTTGTACCGTCAAAACCTTTCTTATTTCCCGAAATCAAGCTTTAAATTCATGTTATGGCTAGGCTAGCTTTAGACGGCGTTTTCAGTCAGAAAATCCACAAAAAATGCATTCAATAGGATCCTTTTACCCATCTGTGGAGTGTTCTCACTCCTAGCCTTGTGGCATGGCTGTGAACCTTGCGAAAGGTGTATCGGTAAGCGCACTTTTTTACACTTTCATTATCTTTTCCCTTTTAATCCTAACGCTGGCCCCTTTCCTGAGCTTCGTGATTGCATATTTTTACTACAATGTTGTACAGAAGTAAAGCAGTAGCTACATGCAGTCACAGACTGCCTTTTATTCTACTTTCTTACGGCAATTTCGTTAACGGCCTCCTCGAACCTTACGATAGTTTCTCGTCACCGCAATTATTTGCGATTTTCGTGATTTAAGGGCCCTCCCCACCTTTATTTGCATTTTAAATACCAAAATGTTCGTAAAATTCGTAGTTTCCGTTTTCCGTTTTAGCTTAAAGTAAGGGTCTTAACGAATCTTGCAAATTTTCACGGTAGACTCAGCGCTCCAAGCTGCGACCATTTTGGTCGCCATGGCGAGTGAAAAAAAAAATTGGCGACTGAATTATCGGCGAAAGTCGCCATTTGGCCACCAAAGGATATAACCTCAAAAGAATAATGTTGACTTCACGTTTTATCGCTTTTTAACGGAATCATCGTTAAATTAAAGAAATATTACCAAGCTTTTCTTCTGTGTAAATTCAATGATGAATCTGTTCCTCTTGCATGGCAAGACATGTGTACAGTTCTGGCATAAGGATCTGCGTATCGCAGCTTCAAATTCATTGAGCGGCCATTTTGAAAACTCAGGTGGGAGAAACTGGGGAGAGCCCAAACTACTTCCGAAACTTCCGGCGGGGGTTGACTTACACCCAGGCCACCCCGACAGAAACAGTTAAATTTTTGACACAAAAGATGGCAAGTCGTATGCTCTTGTAAGTTGCGTTTATTGCGTTTTTTTTTAAATAAAAGCTGTTTTTATTATATTCATCAATAAAAATACTTTTGTTGGAGTAAATGTGTTTCATGAAGAAATATTAAATTTCCCGTGAGAAAAGTTAAGTCAGGCACTTTTCACGCTGATCTGGCTACACGTAGCCTGCGAGAGAATTCAGTTTTATCGGCTCTAGTTTCACAAGCGTTGTGATTTGTGAAGCTAGTGCCGAAAAAACCGGATGCTCTCGCAGGTTAGGCAACACGTGGAGTTGATGGTGCTGTGCACAATTACTAAAAATAGATAGACCCCTTGGTGAATGACAAAGTTTGCATGCAGTCAGCTCAAAGGCTTTGTATGAGCGGGATTTGTTTTGGATATAAAAAATCAGCGAAAAATCGACGAAATCAGTGGTAAACATGATTTTCTTGCAAAAATATCAATAAAAGCCGCATCAAAGTTTTCGGCAACACCACTTTCCCCCGAGACTTTCCCATACCACATTCTCATGCAGATAAGACAAAGAGGAGTTCTTTGTCTGAATCACAGCTGGAGGTCAAATGTCTGTGTAGTCTTTTATGCCCAGCGCTGCTGTCAATAAACTGATGTGAAATCCCCATTCGCGCGTAGCTGGCTGTCATTTGCTTATTTCTATTGCTCTTGCTGAGGAAATAGTAATGAAGAATGACAGACTTCGAGAGAATATTTGAAAAAGTACGCGATCTATTCGCAAGCGGTGATCCGTCAGCAACCGAAAAAGTCATCAAGTTAAAGGGAGAACACGAGGAAATTCTCCATAAGAAAAGCATCTCGGAACTAACCTTCAACAACTATGAAGAAGATTCACTTGGAACAGCATTGATTCCGGATGATGAAAATCTTCCACGTGGTCTACGGGCTCTTCAAGTTTCCGGGGACGGGAATTGTTTGTATAATTCTGCGTCAGTTTTAATGAAGGGAGATGAGTCGCTAAATGGAACTTTACGATTTCTGACTGCTTGTGAACTATTTTTAAACGCTGAATTCTATGCTAATCACGAAAAGCTCTCTGAAGCAAATGCGGAGTGTTCCTACTCAGAGAAAACACTGTTTATTTTAATGCTGACGTCGGCAGGCGAGAAAGAGTGGCAGTCGACCAGACGTGCAGTTTATTTAGGCCAGAAGTATTGTTATTGTTATTGTTATTGTTGATTCAAGTTTTAATTTACATATGTGAGTGGTTTCAATGCCAATGATTTAGTTAAAGAAAGATGTTTCTTAGCAAGTAGACGGTACGAACAAATGTATATTCACGTAATCGTATCTGATCAGATTTGTTTCAATGATATCACTGCAAATACATGTTCCGGGTTTCAACATCCGCCTTTGTAGTAAATTGTTCTGGTTACCTCTCATAAATGTCTTTGCCTGTTTTTGCCATCTTGTACTGCGTTTACAACCCGCAGGCAAGTAACAATGGAGTGTTAAAAACACGATTTATTTCCGTACACAACGTTCAGCAGTAGCTCCTTCATGTAAGTAGCATGAAGTGTCTTGCGTTAATGAAACGACAATTTTGGCGACCGAAATTTTCCATTGGCGACCATTTTAAAAATGAAGGTCGCCAAAAGGCGACTTATTGAAAAAATGAGCTTGGAGCGCTGAGACTTTGTACAAACAATTATAACTTTTCTTAAAACCGCAGTGCTACTCGCAGCAGCAACAACAGTTTATTCAATTATCAAATAATTTAAGTCTATGTTAACCGCAATTAGCGGAGCTATTCTGCGTGGGCAACAATACAATAATTGTCTCCTATAAAGTCGGCAAAAGAATGGAAGTAAAGAAAAAGCAAAAATAAAATGGAATAAATCAATAAATATATATATATAAAAGGTAGCACCTATAGATATAAGGAAGGAAAGCAGCTGGTGTAACAATCGCATTTGAGTAAAAAGTCGTCGTTCTAGTATGGTCTTTTAGCTTTTAGAGTTCGTGAGTGTTTTAATAAACCCGGTCAGTTGATCATCGTTCCTATGAACTAAATTCTTTGGCATTCAAAACCCTAAAATGAATTTTAGCCATACACTGCGAGTAAGTAAAGAGAGAGATCACGGGGATTGTTCTTTTGCTTTTTTAATTTTCTAAAGAGACCAAGTTAACATTATCATCATCATCATCATCATCATTATTATTATAATGGCATTTATTATCCCGCTCCCAAGCTCATCTCGAAGAGATTACTTATCATAATCATCACCTCAATATTATGATGATGATGGAATTGATTCTTCACGAAAGAGCCCAAGTGTTTCATAGACCCTGCAATATATGCTGCCAGTATTTCTCAACTACAAACAGCTGTCATACCTCGTACGTGCATCCAACAACGTGAAAAGGGCATTTAATTTCTGTGTTAGGACACTCTTTCTCCAAATGCCCCTCGATCTGGAAAATATAAAAACAATAACTGACCACTTCAAGCAATAAAAAGCAATTCATGTGTCTGAATAAAAGTGACACATCGCCATTGCCAACACTGTTCAATATCAGTACCATCACCCACTGTGTACAGCAGATGTGATAACGCATGTGAAAATCAGGAGACTGCCGGGACCCATTCCCAACTTAGCTCACTCTTCTACGGAACTTGTATTCAGAAACTGTCATCTGCTTTATTAAATAGAAGCTATCATTTCTCTAGCGTCATTACTCTGTAAGAGCGGTTTTTTACTGTTGCATAATTTTTCAGGTATTTACGACGTACACTTAACGGTCTTTACGTGCCTAAATCAGGTAGAGACGATGTACCAAACGTCGCCCCTAAACGTAAAAGTTGAACCTCGCTCAACTTTTAAAGTTTTACGTTTACGCGACCTCTCATTCTCCCTCTCTAATTAGCAGGGAAATGGGTACCAACAGAAACCAGTTATGGCAAATCACTGTCATTAAAACGTTTTCAAGACATTTACATGTACACAGGTTTACAAGAATTACAGGAGCAAAAATCCTAAATAATATTAATCATGAAGAACGGAGAGACTTCCATAAAACTTCCTTTTCTCGCCTATTTAATTACATATTTCGTAAAGAGAGCAAGACATTCGAGGCGACAGAAATGTGATTTACCATATCTCTTGGTATGTTTTCTTGTCCACATTTTTCACAAGCCTGCGGATATTTGGGGCAAACTTGGAAATGTTCCTGAAGAAAAAAATAATGGCAGACTTTATTACAAACATTGCAATGCACGAGTAAAAAGTCCTGTTTTAGTTTGAAGGCACCGTTTTTGACAAGACTGATAAAGTTACTAAACAGTACATGGTAACTAAACAAAATGATTAAAAATGGAAACATCATCTTTTGTTTACGTCAAACAAGTTCATTGCTAAGAAAGTAAAAATAATTGCATAAATGTGGCAAAAGGCAGATTTTATGACCACATAATAACTTTTGATAAAAATAATTCTCCAATTCGTCACAGGCTACAGAAGGGATTCGGGCATTTTTGATTTAACCTTAAATTGTGCATGGACACAATACCTTTTTTGGAACATGACTGCTTATGGAGGCTACAACCAACCATGTCCGATTGTGATCTAGTGTGTGTACTCATTACAAAGCACTACACAGTATCTGGTTGAACTCGTCTGTAAGGAAAGATAAAGCACCTGCCAAAGGTACAGCAGGTACTTTGTCACAAATTGTGTGAGTTGTGACAAGGGCTCCTGCTTGATTCCTGTCGAGTTTGACATTCCCTTTTAGAGATCTTGCGCAAATCCAGTTATTTTGGTTTCTTTTATCCTTGTGAGCATTTGCTTCTCCTTTAACACTCTTCTGACAAAATTTTAGCATTTGTTTCTCCTTCAAAATTCTTCTGACAAATTTGAACATTTGTCTCTCCTTGAAAACTCCTCTGACAATTAGTTTGAGCATTTGCTTCTCCTTTGACAATCTTCTGACAAATGAAGTCTTCCAGTACACAATTCACCTTCTGAGCGTCAGATTTCACGTGTAGTTTCACGTGACTTTTGATGACCTTTGTTGTAAACAAACCCGCAAAGTTCGGACATTCGTTCTCTGACACATACTGTACTTGTACGAACTACACTCGCTATTTCAAGTTTGCGTTAGTTTATAAATGCTATTTCCCTTTCGCTGTTTGAGACTCGAAAAGTTTAAGGTTCAAAAATGTCTGAGCAGAAGAATAAGAGCGATTTTAAGGCCAAGAACATAGCAGAAGTTACAGCAGGAACGAGGAGTGCTTGCAGTGGAAATTCCCGTCTCAGCAGCTGAAATGGTTTTAACACTGGAACTAAACCTCGAAAGAGATAAAACCGGTGATGAAGGCAAATTTCATGATACATACATAATTCACATTTCAAAATTCATGATCACACGCGATCACACTTTCCAATCCATTTTCGCTACAAAGACCGTTTGGCTATTTGTTGTTTGACATTTTCCTTTTCGATTTGTATATTACGGCAAACAGGGACTCGACACTTTTGATGACGGTTATGTTGATGGCATTTACTTACTGAGGTTGAATCAAGATGTGGTAGCAAAAAAGTGCAGGCTTTTGACAGGGTTGTCACTAAAATTTCAAGTTGCCGGGTAGATACAACAAGTAGGCGGGGAATCAAACAGCAAGGAATTTCTTTTGGTTCTATTTTTCTTTTATTTTTCAATAAAATTAGCCGGGGACCACATTCATAGTAGCCGGGGGAAATCCCCGCCCCCCAGCTGTTAATGACAGCCCTGAATTTTGTGAACATAAACTGGATTTGTATTTAATCGTGTAGAGTCAAAAGGAGGCAGTGTATTCTATCACATGACCAGAAGGCGGAGATCCCATCTGAGATCTGTAAGCTTGCTTATATTTCAGCGTATAAAAGGCGGTCGAGACGAAAATGTAAGCACACTGCCGTATAATGAATTATAAATGTGTCTGCATCATTAGTTTCATTTTCTTCAAGTTTAGATCCACCTTGCAAAACCATTCTTTCAACTGAACAGGAGATTTCTACGCGCTTGTTGAAACTCCATGTACCGGCGAATATTTTTTCTGTTTTACCACACTTGAGGCGGTTTAAGTCACTCCAGATCTTCCGCTTTGACATTTTGAACCTTAAACTATTCGATTTTCAAACAGCGAAAGGGAAGGAAAACATATAAGTTAACGCTAACTTGAAGTAGCGACTCGTAGTTAGCCTGCGAGCAAGCTCTCCTGTTTCCTCTGCCCCTCGCGGCTTCGCCGCTCGCTCACTCGTTCTCGCGAGACTCGCTTCGCTCGCAGGCTAACTCGTAGTTCCTACATGTACAGTATGTGAGAGAGAACAGATGTCCGAACTTTGTGGGTTTGTTTACAACAAAGGTCATCAAAAGTCATGTAAAACTACACGTGAAACCTGACGCTCAAAAGGTGAATTAATTCGCAGGAATCATGAACAACAAACCTCTAGCCCATTCCACTTCACTTGCTTCTGACAGTATCGGCATGGTACAGTCCTGTTAGGACACTCTTCTTCTAAATGCTTTTGAAGGTCTCTCCTTTTGAGTTTCCTTCCACACTCCTTTGGGCAATCCAACTCAACAAATTCACACACGCTTATGTGGTCCTAGAAAAATAACGAATGTATAATTATAATCGCAACAAATAACACCAGCATTCACGTATTAGGTGACTAGTAGAGGGAATTAGTTACACCTATGCGAGATGACAAACAATGAGACTGGAGACAATAGACCAATCTCTTTGCCTTGTGTCTGCAGAAGACTTCTAAACACCATTGTTTGAAGTAACATAACTCACCTTAAACGGCACAACCTTTTTCACGCTATGCGGCATGGTTTTTGTCGGGCAATGACCTGTAAATCTCACCTTGGAGAATTCACAATAATGGCCTTGCTTTATAACGTCCATGTCAGAAGATTGATGACATAATGGCCAAGCCAAGCAGTTGTCAAGGTATTGCATGACCGTGACAGACTCATCACACAAGAATCCATGATCTCAGAGACAACCTACCTCATTTGATTCAACGCCCTTTTTGACAAAGTGGCAATATATAGTAGGAGGCAGCAAGAGATCAGATCATTAACTTGAACTTCCCTCTCACAAGCCCAAGGCTCTACAACAGAACCAGCACTAACGAAGATCATAAAATCTTATGGTTCACTTGTTTGCAGATTATATAGTCATTGTATCGTCTTGCACAGTGTACCTCACTGTCAAAAATTACTATGCATTTCCATCACTGTGAACAGTTCCAAGAAGATCTTGAAATGCTGAAGTGGGAGGAAAGATGGAAATATGTTTAATGATACCAAACAAGAAGTTCTCCAAATCTCCATTCTCAAACACCAACACTTTACATAGTTTATTTGCGTAGTCTCCTTCTCAAAGAACTACACAGAGCAAAGTAAGTGACGATCCATATTTCCAAAGATATCAAGCTATCTGCGCACACTGATGAAACAACTGCTTATCAAGGCTCTCACTTTAGAGGAACAGTTAGTTCACCAGTGCACCAAGAGGGAGCCTGTTAGTTAAAGGGCTTGTAGACTCCAAAACCTCAAGTACACACTCTGTGAGTGTATGGGATCTGTCCCACAATGACAGTGGTTCCAACAGGGTTTAACTGCCAACTGTTACAGCAAGGGGCTGTAAGTTGGACATTTGACAGATTCTGTGCATGGTTGAGTCATGCCACAAACTGACTTTGACCATGATGAAGACCACACAGGTCTTAGTTCTTTGGGCAGAAAAGCTCTTATGCAGCCACATCAGTGAAAGACAAGATATAAAGTATGATACCCACCATGAGTATTGTTCATCCTCTTAATTTTTTTTTCAATGACCTCTGAGCATCACCTCTCTTACCACAAACAAAACCGAAATATAACTACTGTATCTACATTTTAAAATCAATTTTCTTCACTATCCTATGAGTGCAGGGGTGGACTTACATTATATTCAAAAGCAAAATATAACAATGGTAGTATAATACTGTTATAACTATAATTTATGACAAATACAACATACAGTGTATTACTGTTAAATATATTAATAGACAGAACAAGCACGAAATAGTTAGTCGCAGATAAAATCGAATGATGTTTCAATGTTAATGTGGCACCATTTTAAAGTTCAAAAACGTGTCTGATAGATACAGAAATAAAAATTGGCATCAGAAAAATGAGGCCGAAACATTGTTCAAGGTGATCAGCATTATCTGTCATTTGTATTTGTTTTAAGAAATGTTCACTTATTAGAATGTGTGGTTCCAGAAAATATCCATACCCCAAGGAAGGGATGGGGTTTTCCCGGGGGGGGGGGGTTAATTTGCCTAATTTTCCACTGGGGGGGGGGGGGGGGGTCACGATAGGGAAATATTTCCAGAGGGTTCTGGTGACGCGTAAGAGAGTAACAGAGAAAAAACACAAAAAATTACCACGGCAATTTATTTGCGAAGATATAAAACACGACGAAAGTTAAAGAGCTACTAAACCTAAGATATTTTGTCAGTCCCTTTGCGTGACCTCTCACGCGAAAACGTTCCTTACGGTTTGCCGTTTTCAAACGGATTTGGTATCCGTTTAAACGGCTCGGGGTATCCGTTCAAAAAAAATTGTCACCCGTTCGAACGACTTGGGCTATCCGTTTGAAAAAAGTAAAATGTTGTCATCCGTTCGAAAAAATTTGTCATCCGTCCGAACAGCTTGGGATATCCGTTTGAAAAAATTGTTATCCGTTCGAACGGCTCGGGCTATCCGTTCGGAAAAGAATTTGGCGACCGTTCGAGCGACTGAAGCTATCTGTTCAAAGGTAAATTTTATTCGAGTTTCCATCCCAAAACCATTTCGTCTCTAGCCACTCGCGTCGAACGATGTGTTATTCTCCAGGTCACATACGTCACGAGTTTTGTTTCCAAACGTATCATATATGAATAGTTACGCATCTCTGCTCGCTTTCAAATTATCAATTGATTATCGACAGTATCGACATACGTTTTAGTCAATACTTAAGTTTTTTTTTCCAACAAGTTTCCCGAAAATAATATTTTTTATCTTTGCGCTTTTGTAGTTTATGCGCCAGCGGAATGAAACTTCATTTTCCTTGCATGTCGAGAACACAAAACACGAAAAATAAATTTTTTTAATTGGTTGCATTTCTTCTTCTCTTGACTGTTTCTCTATCAGAAAGAAGTTACACGAGTCTTTTCCAGCACGTTAAACTTTGCGTGACAATTTTCTTATCAATGAAATCGGCGACGCGCAATTTTACCGCAAACTCAAATATGCAAATTTGGTAGAACGAAATTCCATACTCACACTGTCTTATCGCGCGACGAGGTTGTGATCTCTTTTTATTATACTTCTCCAAGTGTTCCTTCTTCTTGACGCAGTGCGAGAAAAGTACGGTTATGTTTGCTACGCGACCTTGCATTTCATTTGCAGAATTGTAGAATTAAACAGAAATTACATGAAATGCACAAAATTTGTCTTTGACTTGAGCGCATAAGGAGTTCGCATAAGGAATTCGCTTATCTGTTATACAATTCAACAGAAAATACATGAAACTTACAAAATTTGGCATCCTAGTGAACAAAACTACTTCTTTGTTTACTTCAATTAGAGATAGCAAAATTTCCAGGGGGTGTGCGAAAATTTTGGAAATTCCGGAGGGGAGGGGGGGTCATACGGCAGATCCCTTCCGTGGGGGGTGGATATTTTCTGGAACCACACAATATTAAAATAACTATTAATTATAACCCATTTGAGTATACAAAATTATGTAAGAAAAGGTGCTTTACAAAAGGTTGATACTACATGTATCATCACAATTTAAACAACATTACAATTGAATGACTATTTGTATGAAAATACTAACTTAACCAGGATTACCAAAACATTATGTGATTTGATTAAGTACATGTGAAAGGAAAAACTTAGTGGGGGTTATAGGTAAACAGCTAGCCTGCGTAGCAAGCGTTTCCTCGCGAGGTTCGTCTAGAAAGCTGGGACAAGAGCAAAAAAAAAATGAATGACGGGGGAGGGGGAGGGGAACGAAGGAACCGCTTGCCCGCAAACCCCACGATTTTGAAAAACTGCGTTCGCCCACGAACGCAGCTTCTGATTGGGGCGGTGCGGGTAGTGTTGATTACTTAGCATTCAAAACATCAATCAAACCAGGTATGCTTTGTTTTCGTGCGTCAGAGATCTGGTCTCATCCGATTTGTGGTCGCAGATTACAAATGCTTTGGACTGATTTTTATTGGAATCGTGTTTGTGCGAAGGTTTATGAGATCAGAGTCTTCAAAGTATAATTGGAGATCGAGCAGTGGAGACTAGGGAAGGCTAATTTATTGAGAATGACGGCGTGTGGATCTGACGGGAAAAAATGGACTGTTTGTTGGAGATAACATCAACATAAATCAGAACATCGGTACTCGACACCAGCTAAAGCCGCCATGGACAAGCGATTTGTCAGCTTTTTGAAATGAAAAGATTCTTTTTGTTTATTGGAAATTTAGCGACATCTATTGTAGAGAACGTTTCGACACAGGCTGAAGAGCAGCCGTTCTGCAAGACTTATACCCGGCGGAGTGAATTGTTCCGAACAAATTATTTTTGACGTGTCGACAAGGTTTCAGACGAGATAAAGCAACACAATAAAAAACAAGAAATTCCTAAGCAATCGCTCATAGTTTTAACTTTCTTTTATCGTAAATCTTTTTTATTATAGTTCTTGCAATCGCCTGCAACGTGTTCTATTAGAGAACAAAGTAATTTTACAAATCTGGTAATCCAGGGGTAATCTGTTCGTTATGCTTCTATTTTGACGAGCTGTCAATTTACAAATGGAACCGAACCGTGAAATATCAAGGGGCGTTTTCCAGAATCGTGGGGTTTGCGGGCAAGCGTTTCCTCTTCTCCCCTCCCCATCCCCCTTCAACCTTTTTTTTGCTTCCGCTCTCAGTAACTTTCGCGAATAACTAGATTGGAAACGCTTGCTACGCAGGCTAGTAAACAGCCCTCGCGCAACTGGGACCCACCACCCCATAATTTACATTTTATTTCATTCAAATCCTCAGCTGTCATCAGAGATGAGACTGCAAATCATAGAAAAAGAGAGACACCTGGCCCCAGTTGTTCAAAAAGGTAGATAAGACTATATACTGGATACAATACCATATTTCCTCAAATAATAGCCCTCCCTCGATTTATCACCTTCCCCAAATAATCACCCCTTTCGACGGAAATATTTACAATAATTGCCTCCCTCAAATAATCACCCTTTTTGTGCAAAAATAATAATAATTGCCCCTGGCTATTAGTATATGTAATAGGACTACATGCTGTCCAATTTGGAAATAACTGGATGAAAAAAATTTCAACGACAGCCAAAATTGGACGAGGCCGTAGGCCGAGCCCAATTGGCTGTCAGAGGAATTTTTTTTGAATTCAATTTATTTCCAAATTGGACAAGCATGTAGTCCTCTTACTAAATTGACTATATAGTTTGTTGGTAAATCAAGATTTTTTAGCATCTCACAGACGCGAAATACTGTACACTCGAACCCATCTGTTTGAAGTTGAAAAAAAAAAACACACTGCAAGATCTAAAAAAGGTTTATTCTTTAAGTGTCATTCAACTTATTCTTAAACAAACGTAAAACTAGTATTGCTCTTTCATACTTTGGCATTTTATTGCCAATTAAAATTTTGAAAGCTCCTTCAATGATCTGAATGATACGGTGCTACAGGTGAAAACTGCAATTTTGAGTACAAAGAAGACAAAGCAACAACGCAAATACTTAATTTAAATACAAAAACTTTTGAAAATAAACATATCTTTCATTACCTAAAACGAGTTTCGCAGAATTGGTCTGTTTGTTTTTGTAATGCAAACATCTAAACACAAGTATCAGTGTTTTCTTATTCTTGTCCAAAGTTTCTGTGCTTGTACATTTTCAAGAATCTATGCATTGATTGTTTCCAATTCAAACTTTCATCAGTTTGGTCATACATTTTCCTTTTAAATGGCCCAGACAAGAAGCCAAAACAAAACAGCAGCAAAACAAAACGACATTCACAGCAACTGAACAAGAAGCCAAGAGAGTTCACCAACGAACCACTGTCAACCAACGAAACTTTTTTTGGCGCGTTGTCACAGGGACTTTGCGCTGATTGGCTAGTTTGCATTGCCTACTGTACTTTCTGGCATTTGATTGGCTTAGACCAGGAGTCCTATTTTTCTTAAATTGGACAGTTTGCCTGTTTGTAAAGGGAAGCCCTATCTGAAACTATCCAAATTAGAGCTTGTAAAAATTAAAGGATAATAGCTTTGCCTACAATATGGGATTAACTAACAGCTACATAATTATTCGAGGGAATACGGTAAATCTCTATCCAGTGGATAAGGATCCACTGGATAGTGATCTGGTGGATACCACACGTGGCAAACCATACACAAATAATACTATAATCTTACACTAGTCATAATAAAGGAAAAAATCTGATAGTCACGCTGGCGAACTGCATTGTAATAAAGCCCTAAGGGCTATGATAAGAATGCTTAATAAATGGCTGTTAATAGATTGACTTATCACCCGTATCCATGATTCTGCACTTAAGTTAATAACACCTGGATGTATGACTGAAAAAAAAAGATGGTATAATAATTTAATGAAAGAAGTGACATGCTATACCTCTAACTTGCTAAGGGGCCCTTTCCAAGGACAACCATGTTGTTTCTTTAGTCGGCAAAAAACATCATGAGACAGCATTTCCCTCTTAGCAAAATTATCTGGATAAAGCTACAATATGAAAATAAATAATTATGGCAACATTTTTCAAGGCAAGTCAATTTTGTCGTTCATTTTTGGTCAATAGCGTCTACAGTCAAAGAGGCCAAAAATACAATGCAGCTCAAAGATAAGAGAGAGTGGATGTTCATCTAACATTTTCAAACATGTACCTGCAGCAAAACTCTTTAGTACATGTACAGATGTATGTTGTGTATAAAAGATTGCTGTTGTCAATAATTACCTGTGACTCATTTAAACGTTCATTATCCACAGGGCACTTGGGCCCAGCATCCCTAGAAAGAATTAGAAGGAAATGACAACCTGTTATTTACTTTAGAAATAAGCAAGCAAAAGCTCGAGACAATAATTTTGTCAAGCAAAAAATGAAGGTGGCAAATGAATTCAAGGAGACAAAGTACAATATTGCCAACAGCTACTGTCTCAGGGAACCGCTTTCTATGTTTTCTCATTTTTGGAAGATTAACAGGTTTTTCAGTTCGAGGCTTTACCACACTTAATAGTTATTCTGTCAAATCATTGTCTACAGCAAATTGATTTTCACTTGAAAGCTTGCTCGAATCATTTCAAACTAGCACCTATTAAAAGGGGCTCTGACAGAGGTACGCTGACGGCTAATACAAATAAAGTAATTTAAACCCTTGAAAATTACTTAGAGAAAAACTAACATAAAAACATAAAAAAGTTTAATGTATCCCTCCTTTTAGTTATTAGTAATTTATGGTGTAAACACCCTACAACAGGTATCACAATGATCCATATAGATGAGTTGAATGGAGGCATTTTATTGCCTCAAATATTACCTATTACACTCCATATTGCATGTTTACGCAATGTAAGTACATCAGTACTGTTGTACAGTCAAATCTCAATAACTCCAACCCTTGGTAACTCAAACCTTGCACTATTTCAAACCAAGATCAATTTTCCCTGCACTTTTGCCGGCACACACTATGCAACTGGGATCTTGCCTTCCATAACTTGAACCCTTGATTGTAATAATTTCACCCGTAATAACTTTTCCCATGTTAATATCAAGACCTGACAAAAGTCAGAATAAACAGTGTTGTACAGAAGGCCAAGGCATCAAATATATTTTGAAATAGCCAAGTTTTTTTTTCTTTTGACATTGCCAAGACATATCAGTCTTTCCTTATGGCCTTTCTTGCCATAAGGAAACATACTGTTGAACCTTTTCCCTTTGATTTAGAAAGACAATATTATGACAACTAACCATTTTCACATGTCTTCTCTACAGTTATAATGAAAATTAATTTGATTACCCCTCGCTAACTCAAACCAAGTCTCATTTCCCTTGGATTTCACCACACCTTTCATTCAATTTTACTTGGTTAACTTGAACTCGGATAACTTGAATTCCTTGCTAACTCGAACTAAATTACCTTTCCCTGATAAAAATTTGACTGAAATTTACCCTGATAACCCAAATTCTCGTTCTTGTAACTCCACTCGGATGCCATTTCATTAGCTCTTCTTGATGTACAATCGGTAAAACCACTAAAACTAACATGACAGCAATTTGATTTTAATTGGTGCAAAACCAAAAGTTTTATCAGAAAAAGCATAATCATGTTACCATTTGTGATGAAATACGTTACATTTGTACTGTGTTAGCTATACACTGAAGTGCTGGAAAATCAGTGACTATATATTAATTATTAAGATGGAAAATTTGACACTCAATCGACCCAGATAATTTGAACCCCCGCTAACTTGAACTGTTTTCTGTTTCTCAGCAGAGTTCGAGTTACTGGGGTTCTACTGTATTTGTACACTGTATTGAGCAGCAGCACAGTATAATCACTGTTTTTTAATTCTTATTTCTGGTCATTTGTTCTGGATCCACTCCCAGTAACACTAACTCCCAAAAACTCTAACCAGCTTCTTTGATTTCTGTTGATTGTTTGATTTATTGGGGTTGACAGTACTTCAACTGTACATTCTTCTGGAGACTTCTGTAATTAATTTAACTGTATAAATAGTACTTATTTCAGTCAACAATATTATAATGCCACAATCACACCTACACTTGCAAAATGCAATCAAAGTGAATTTTTTTTTTTCTAAAACAAATCATTCCTTAAAGAACAATAATATTTTCCTGTTGGCTGTAAAACAAAGGGACGCCAGCAAAGCAATATTGTTTGAAAGAAGTGCAGTCAAGTGACACTTCTGAGATTGATCAAGCATTTTCTCACTTTTGTCAAGGCAACAAACAAACGGTCATGCATTAAATAGAGGTGCTATACTTGGCAAATGGTGTTTAAATCTTCCTAGTAAAGAGTGTACTGCTGCTAACGAATAAAGCAGCTGGACACCTTAAAGAGTGAACAACAAAAAATTTATTTATTAAAAAAATAAACACTTTTGGAAACTAAAGCATGGGAAACAAAGTAATGCAACAAAGACAGTGAACATTTAAAATCTAACAAATATTTCAAACATTTGCACTGACTTAGCAGCTAATGAGAAACAACAATATAACTTATTTACTGAATTTTCCTGCTTTGTACAAAATGTTTTCACAAAGACCATCATATATATTATTACCTGAAAATACGTATACGAATGTTAATACAATAAGACTTTTCAGTTTCAAGAGTTGTCACACACAATAATAATAAATTATTATTGATGTTGTTATTGTGTTTCAAATAGATGCAGAATAAGCAAAAGTGTAGCCGGCCAATACTAACCAAGTAGGCAGGGATTTTTGCTGGCGGCCGGCTACTTTTGACAACCCTGCTTTAGCATAGGCACATGTAATACATAGAAGCCAACAACTGACAGATGGCCTTTACCAAAACTTTTAATAGCATGTAAAGTGGAACCGCGTTAATACGGTCACTATTGGGCCAAAAAAGTGTGGCCGTATAATCAGGGTAGGCTCAAATTTCATGACTTGAGGGCCGAAATTACAAAATCACCGTACTGTTCTTGTTAATAAATAACCGGAATGTAGATATCGCGTGTAGTAATTGAAAAAAAATACTTTAAATTTTCTTTCAGAACTCTATTAACTTTGACTATAAATCGCCACAAGTGCATTTTAAGTGTACTGTAGTCTAAAAACGGTACAAGAATTAGGTCAGATTACTACGTCAATACAATTGACATGTCACAGACATTTTATTTTTCTAAATTTCGAACATAAATTATAAGAAATTCTACTGTTTGGGATTTTAAAATGTGGCCGTTGGCCATATAAACGGGTGGCCACATCAACAAGGGTTTTTTTATAAGGAAATCTATGGCTGTTTTGCTGGGCTGAAAAAAACTGACCATAATAACGAGGTGGCCGTAAGGCGGGGTTCCACTATATATTATATACATACATGTATCTTTTAAATATGGACCAACGGGAATGGAAGACATCTGCACGGAGGCTAAAATCAACGTGCATTAGTTTCAATTGGCTGATCCCTGCAAAGACTAAAACCAATAAATGCTACCTAGCTGGAAAATTTCCAAAAGGCTGCCCAAAACGAAGCAAAGTGGAAAACACTTTTCTGAGCAACTGTTTCTCAGAAATGTGAGTGAATTCCACGGATAGTTTTCCACAGTCATGATAACCTTTTGGATCCCCAAGGCACTAATCTATTTTAGCTGTATACCCTCTTTATGCACTAGCACACTTGAATAGCAATTTTCTTAAAAGCAAAGGAATAATTAATTAACGTTATGCATGCATACAGAAGAAATCAGACTGGTTTGAGAGCTTCAAATCACAAGCTTGCTATTATTTCAATAACTTGCACTTTTAAAAAGTACTAACGCACTCAACCTAATCTCAAGAAGAAACAGACCCAAGAATATTCAAGATTACCTGATCAATAATAAAATACCAATAATTGTTAGGATAATGTTCAGCCTCATGGGCTATTGACTCAGAGCCCATTCGGGCTCGAGGAATAATTGCTTTAGTAAAATCCAACTAGTTGGTCAAAACTATCAAGACCAAACAACTTTAGCTAGTTAAAGCTAGACAGACTTTAATCCTTTTTTGCTACCAACAAGCTTGTGCTTATCACTACTAGTGGGCTATAACATATAGCCTAGTGGTAGCACAACCAATGAGAATGCAGCATTGATAACAGACCACTGAGTTGGATTTTACTAATTGATCTTAGTCTTTCAATAGACCCCCTAAGGTTCCTAAACACAACTTAATTACAGTGTACCTTCCTTAACTTTTATTAGTTGACTTTCAATAGACCTTATTCACTAAACCTGCCATCTTTGCACACGCTTTAGAACTGATGGGATACAAGCAATGCTTTTGGTATTTCAGTGGGCAAAGAAATGATAAAATTTGCCAATATGAGTAATCGCGGTCAAGTTTGTTTATTCTCTCAAAACAAACGATGATTTAATAGTCAACCTGAAAAGGTACAATTTGAGTTCCAACATGTTTTACATCATTATTGCTTGCTGTGAGGACATCTACGATCGCTACTGCATCCAAAAAAGTAACAATGATCACTTCCACCCATAATTTCTCATCATTGCCTTTAAGATAAAAAGTTGTTTTAGAATGAACAAACTTGACCACAATTACCGTATTTATTCGATTAACCGCCCTGGGCGCTTATTAAATTTTTGGACCTTGAGAGTGGGCGCTTATTCGAGGTGGGCGCTTATTCGAGGCTGGGCGCTTATTAAATTTTCACCATTATCAGCAAGTGAAGTATGTTTATTTTGCAACAAAACAATCAATGCTAATAACAAAATGCGAAGAAGTAACAAAGCAAGGTTTCTGTAAAATACTCTGAAGAAAACTCCGTCCTCGGGGAAGTCTCTTATTGGAATTTATTCACTCAAGTGGGTGGGGTGGGGGTGAGCGCTTATTTGAGTTTGATTGGGAGGAGGAGGGGTGGGCGCTTATTCGAGGCTGGGCGCTTATTAACTTTTTCTGCCTTTAGGATGGGCGCTTATTCGAGGTGGGCGCTAATTCGAGGTTGGGCGCTTATTCGAATAAATACGGTACTTGTATTAGCAGATTTTATCACTTGCTTGCCCCTTAAGAAACCACGTGACATCACTGTTATCCCATCATTATATGGGTAAACCAGTTGGATCATGGTTAAGGAGTGGTAAATTTCATTCCAGAAATGTGTTTGCCTTTTGCACAAATCAGTTCCATTTACCAAAAAATGGTTGCAAAAGCTTGAAACCGTTATCAAAGATGGCTTTGTAGAAATGAAACACAAATTTCCAACTCGAACATTACAACTGGGAACATCGGAGGTCTGCTGCTTCCAGAACTTTTCCACTAGCCTGCATCACAGACCTAAAGTTTCATTTGGGGCACAAGCTATTTTCCACTAGCATGACACCAAAAGTCATGTTTCACTTTCTAACTGGATTCGTGCTGGAAACCTATTGTAAAGGGCAAACAATCAAGTTTTCCTATGATTTTGCACGCAACTTCTCTGTTTTTCTGAAGGTTATTTACATGTGAGGTGCAGCAAGTTGTACACATTACTTTGTTACTAGTGACTAAAATCAGATTATGTCCGCCTAAAGCCAAAATACAGACAATAACTTGTAAAACCTTCTGAACTGTGCTGATAATGATCATCTTTCACTATTTTTAAGCTGAACATAAGTATATATCATAGTAAAGAGTTTTATGCAGAAATAATCGTGAACAAGAGATGAGGCAAATATGGTGCGTTGTCTGCTTTTTTATTTCCTGTGAATTACTTCTTACATTTATAAGCAATTAAACTACAGCTGTAAGATCCTCAATGAGCCCCCTAAAAGCCGGATTTCAATGAAGCTACGGCGACGGCCTAATTAACTGACCTTTGTATAAGTTCAACTTGAAGGGACATGAGTAAGTTGTGTGACCACATTGGCAAAATGTTCTATAAATTATAACGGTTAAAAAACAAAACCTCCTAACTGGAACGTTCCAAAAACACGTTTAAAGGGCATTAGCTTAAACACCAGTTTCTACCTATACAGGCTGTCTCGCTTACGCTTAAGCTTACCTTATGGAACGCAGAATGCACCCTTTACAGAATCTGTGTCCGCAGCTCGTCTGCACCGGTTCTCGCAGGCCAAGAAGACAGATTGGACATTCGTATTTACTTTCAAGTGGTGGATCGAAGAATTCATCATATCCTTCGGATCTCGGTTCATCATAATGTGACAAGAGGTCTCTCGTAAATAAACTCACAGGGCTTGGGTCAAGCGAAGCTTCGCGGGCAAACGCAGGCGGTTCTTCGCGATGAAAAGAACGGGTCATAGCTACACAACGATATTCAATTCGTGCAGTACCTTCAACAACATGGACTCCCTTTTGTTAAAGCGGGTTGTACCTGTAAAATTGAAATTTTCACAATCAACTTTCACGTTTGAAAGAGAGACGTTGGGACTTTCCCCTATCCCATAATTCCTTACGGCGCATGCCGCAGCCATATTGGAAAAGACCCTGGAGACGAGTCTATTTTGACACGGCACACCAGCCTGTTCGGCATGTTGGGACGAGAGGTTAGGTGCGGTTACACGGGTAGGCCTTGGCGGAGTGGCATATGATGCTACTAGAAGTGCTCGAAATTTTGCCAAGTTATGCCAAAATCATGCCAGAATTCCCAAATTATGCTCCTGATTTCCGAAATTATGCTCACAAAATGACGTAGATTCTGTACATATAGGCGCGCAATAACGACACCAAATTATGATGTTCTTCAAATAAATTGTTGTTGTGAATTTATTTGTGTTTTATGGCAGTTTGTCTCGGCCCTCAGCTGTCCAAATTAGCTGCTCGCATCTCTGAACCGTTTGTAAAATGCCTTCAACGACTTAACGATCACACCTCTTTGTATATACTGACTGAACCAAAAGGATATAGTACCCTCTTGATTTAAACTAACTCAAACTATAGCGAACTATAACGTTGAAAGTATCAAGCCACAAAGTAAATCAACCTGTCTTGACAATTCTGAGTTCTTTCAGCACCAATAATTGCTTGAATAAACATGGATAATTAAGAATAGTATATACAAGTCAACATCAGCTCTTATTGTACTGCAACCATTACACTGGCCAGGAGATAGTCTGCCAGAGCGCTGTCCTGCTGATCGCTAAATGCCGCTGAGAGTAGGGAGAAGGCTCGCTCAGCTGCAGCAGAGGAAGGCTGCACCAATAGAACCTGCTTCACTTCGGCTGATTTAATTTATTTCTGTAGAAAATACACCATATTTACTAAATTTTATCAATTTATGCTACACAAAGTGCTAAAATTTGCTAATTATGCTGGCAGTGCTCGTTTAAACAATTATGCTTTTTTGCTCTAATTATGCCCAAAATTATGCTAGCAAAATACACCAAGGCCTATACACGGGACGCTTTCACCGTGGTAAATGACCCTTTTACCGCGGCAAATTGGCGTGGTACGTGTGTCCGGACTTTCCCGGGATGAAGAAATCGCCCATGGGTCCGGTTCCTCAAAAGCTGATAAGTTTAACCCAGGATTAAGCAAAATCTTAAACAAGGATTTCTCATCTAAAAACATGCAACTCGAGCTTACAAAATACTGTTAGGCCTTTACTCCGAGATACAGTACTCGATAACGCAAAATGTTACTCTAAGCAAATACATAGGAAGGAATAATACAAAAACGGAACAAAATTTTAATACTGGATTAGCGCTAATCAGCCTTTCAGAAACCGGGCCATGATATTTTTAAAACGTGGTAAATAGCTAGCGTTTTTCTTTACCCAAATAGCCAGCGTTTTTCTTTACCCAAGGCAAGGGAGCCAATCAAGTTTCTTCAATTGGCACCAACATGAAACAGCAAAAATATTTAACGGGTTTCTTTCCCACTGTTGAGAGAAAGATCGATGTTGACATGGCAGTTTTCACGTTCAGATAACGCAAAAGTTTGAACTGGTTTGTTGGGCTAGATTTAGGAACGATATTTCCGAAAAACAGGTTCTCTCCTGGCATGTAATCGAACAGTGGGACGCAGCTGAACTGTAAAATGGAATCTAAGGTCAAGATTGAAAAAAATGCTGTGTTTCGTCGCTAAATTATCAGGACTAACATACCAGTTGAAGTTTCAGCTAAACTGTAAATAAATTTTCAAGATAACATGAAAGACTGCAATTATTATCGCAATAGCACGAATGAAGTCGTAAAAACAACTGGATTCTTTGGGAATTAATTTGCGTGTAACCACATGTTACCACAGTAAACTAAACCCACGTTAAATTTACCGCGGCTTTTTTTTACCGAGGGAAGTGCCTTTTACAATGGTGTGTGTAACTGCACCTATGAGGTGCGGTTACAAACACCATTTCATGAATCGCTGTGTTCCAGTCTTTTCCTGTATAAACATTAACAAATACCAGTACATCCCTTTCCCAGGCTAAAATAATCATTGTAATTGTTCGGTTCCTCTTTGCAAGTCTTAGGGGCGGACAATAATAATTAGAAACTGAACCAGAGGCGGGGTGACATTTTCCGAAAAAAATTCCTGCAAGAAAAACTTGTCTTACAAAAAATTCCTGCAAGAGGTGGCAACGACAAAAAAGTTCATTCAGAGGTAAAAATGTGCATAGCATAACAGGAAAAAGAAAGCGGGAAAGGTAACATAACTAAAACAGAAGGATATTGAAATTCATCACTCGTGTTTCAGTACCGTCTATACGTGTCAACAACATCCGTTATTACTTTCTAGTCCTCATGCAAAAATAAATACTTTCAGTATGTTGCTCTCTATAAAAAATACGATTAAATGTAAATCCTCAAAGAAGTTCTCAAAGCGCTGATACGCTTCCACTAGCGTGAAATCAACTGCTACAAGGTCGAGATTCAGAAATCAAGGAGAGTGAAATCTTCCGAAGCACCGGAACACTAATAAGAACTACCAGCGCACGCGGCGCCAGCTGTAATTATATTGATGTAACAGTTGAGAAAGTTAGACAAATTGCTGTCAATGTCCAGGCTAATATCGCCCAGTTCAGCAAAATGATGGAAAAATGAGGAGACACTGAGAATAACTAACGGCCACCTCTCTACAACGGTTACTATTTTTGGATGGCGGATAGTCACATGACATTGACTCTTTTTTAGATTTTTAAACTTGCCGCTTCTTTCAGCGGAAAAAAAACGGTGACGCAGCAGCCGCTTCTTTGTACGGGGGAAAGAGTAAGCGCACTGTCTTGCCTTCAAGGCAAACTGACCGACCGTGGCTACTTGTAAAACGTTAATAAACTGTGTTTAGCCTAGGCCTGTAGCCTGTTGTACTTGACAGTTTAGTTAAAACCTTTTCTGAGAAACTATAACGGAAATAAAATGCTAACAGAAATGTTCAAATTGCACACAAAGTTTTCACCATTCTTTTCAATAATTCTGCGCTTTTGTCCGGGCAACCCAAATTGTAACTGGGCAAGTATGTCATGCAGACAAGAGAAATTTCTTACCCTAAAACCTATATATATAGAAATACATAAGACACTAATGATAAAAAACATCACCTTTCTATCGAAATAGCTATAGTCTATTTTGAAAGGGTCAGAACAGCATGATAATGTATATAAATGACTACCATCCAGCCTCAACTCAGAAACTCAGAAGAGGTGATAGTTTCTTAGTTTGAATTTTGGTGACGTCATGTGAAAACCGAAAATTGTATGTTTCGATAGTCGGTGGACCGTTCACTTGATAACAAAAGACTTCAGTATGATTTATATTGACAGTATTGAGAAATGACAGTCCAAGTGCAGATGGAATTTAACCCCACTAAATATTATACTATGTGCTTTTCACTTAAGCGGGAACCACCCCTCGCAAAATTTTCCTACTGTGACAAATTTCTAGAAAACATAAAATCCCACCCAAAATTAGGAGTTGAGATAGATAATAGACTTAGATGGAAGGATAAAATAAACCAAATTTTTAATGCCGCTAACAGGATGTTAAGCTTAGTTTTTGATACCATACGGAGAGCATCAAAAAGATGCTCCGTGTAAGCTCGGGTACGCGGCTGTTGCCTGGGACCCACATTTTAAATGCGACATTGTCAGACTAGAGGGAGTGCAAAGAGTAGCAGCCTGCTTTTGTACAATTATCGTTATGACTGGTACTCAAGTGTCACTCCCATGCTGAACAAATTGGATGTAGCCATTATTTATCATTGTTCAGCACAGGTAGCCCAAGCTAGAAATGAGCATCGGCATTGTTGCATAACATTCGAAATATAAGGATTTGTTTGGGGAAAAAACCTTTCGTTTCTGTAACCTGCGAAAATGAAAGGATTTCAGTAAAAAACAGCTTACCTTACATAAAATGTAACTAAATGTGTGTTACGTCTCTCCTGTGTGGTCCATGGGCCGATTTATGGCCGTTTTATGGGTTGTACTGTAAACGGTTTTCTCTATATATGCAATCGGTTGCACGAACACACACATTGTGTGGGCTCCCTGTCTTCGAATCCCTCGCAGAGTCGCAAGGATATATGTAACAGAGGTTTTTCTTGCTCTCTTTTTGCGTAGATTATGCTGTGCATGGAGTATTCTACACTTTGACTGAGCAAATCTTATTTTTGCCGCTTTGAGTCTCACATCATCTTAGATATAAAGCTGGTCTGTTTCGTGCATCGAGTGATTTGTTCCTGTGGTTTATGTTTCTGCAGATGTTTTCTGACAGGATTTGAACATGTATTTGATCACGGATGCAGGTTACCATCAAATGATGTCGCGATTTTCTTTTACCTCTGTTTCAGCTTTAGGATTTTTATTGCAGCTAAAAGACCTTTAGTAAGTTTCTTTGGTTTTCTCCGAATTGCCGGGACCTGAATAGATACATGCGTGTACTTTTTTTTGGCCGTGAATATCATGATTTCCTGATTTATTTTGCCCCTAAAACTGTCGGCTAGATTGCACAATTTGCGGCATTGAGTGTGCAGCGATTGGAAGACGCTGGAAAACCAGTCGACAAATTTACAAACACTGCGCCTAACGGTCACGCACATGTAAGAATTAGGCCAATCGCGAGGCGCGTAAGAAACCCGCCAATCAGAAACGTCCACATATGTCCTTCGGACTCTGTCGGATATCAGAACGAGCTCTTGTGCACTAATTCGCAGACGGACTTAGACGTACGATGCGTGGGCCGACTGCAACACAGGCCACTATAAAATAACCCTTGGAAATAACATGTAATGGCAATAAACCAGACTGAAGTTCGGTTGGCCGTTCTACCTAGTATAGTGCTCATTCCGTGGACAAGGCCTGGGAAAAATCGCTTGATTTTCGTCCAGCATATAAGACATAAACTCTCTATCTTCGT